AGGAATAAGCATTGAACTCACTTGCAAATTTGGGGCATGAATTAGGGGTGAGATGTTGTCTTTAAGGACTCTGCCAGTTTAATTAAGATATGGAAAATTACTTATTGTTCTTCACCACTAAAGTGCTAGGAATTAACAGCCAAATGTGATGCCTGTGCCTTTCATATCTCTACCATGTGTTTGTTTGTTTAATACCCATAAGACTACATCATTAAACCTCAAGCACTGATTTCACTAATTCAGCACAAGAGCTACATGCTACAGCAGCAAACACCTTTCTGAGTCAATCATAATTGAACAGCTGGATGTAAAATGCAATATTATTTTTAGTCTCGTCTCTAACTTTGACTTCAAACCACAAGCCCTGTTTTCCTCCCAAACAAAATACCTTCCTATCTTTGTAATACATCCCCTAAATATAGCGGGAGCTCACGGGCGGCGCGTGACGTGTTTTATCCACTTTATCAGCTCCTTGCAATTAGAGACGCTACAACTGCCAACATCGCTGCGCTTCTCCTGCCTTAGTGAAACATAACGCAGGTTGTTTGTTTTCCTTTAGGAAGTATTACTTAAGAGAGCAGCAGACCTTGTTGAAGCCCTATATGGGATGCCCCATAACAACCAGGTAGGTCAGCAGCGCGCTCTTTGTTGCCAGGCCGACACGTGTAGATCAATAGCTGCTCCGTGCGGGGCTGGCAGAGCATCAGCACGCTGCCTTTGTACACAGCCGGGCTTTGCCAGCCACCTTGAGGGCAGTGTGATGTGATGCAATGCTCCGAGGGAAACGCTTCATCTTCCCGCTCTCCTCTCGCCGCTCGCTTGCCTATCAGAAATGACAATTAAGTCTGAGGTGCCAAAAGCATAAGCAAGCATTAAGGCAAGAGAATAACCTTGAACTTGGGCCAAAATATACAGTGACTAATGGGAAGTCCTAAAGAAATCTGCTCAGCTGAGTGGATCAGCCCTACTGTATTCTGCAAACCGCTGAAAATACGGCTCCTGCCTTAGACGCATAAAACCCGTGGGACGATTTTCATCTGACTTCCAGTGCTAAACTGGAGTTTGATGTTAATTTGTTTCTTTCTTTATTCTTACTGTGTTGAGGTGCAATTGGGCACGGGAGGTGTGGTTGAAAGAAGCAGCAAACCCCCCCACCCTCGCTATAATTCCACGTGAACCCCTTCGGTAAATTTTAGCGCTATCGCGACTTGGAGCGTTTGCACGAGTCGGAGTTGTCAGCGCTTATTTGGTGTCTCTCTAGGAAATAATCCTGAAACGAGCAGCTGACATTGCTGAGGCGTTGTACAGCGTGCCCCGCAACCACAACCAGATCCCCACTCTAGCCAACACTCCCGCCCACACCGGCATGATGGGCGTCAACTCCTTCAGCAGCCAGCTCGCCGTCAATGTCTCTGAAACATCACAAGCCAACGACCAAGGTAGGTGGGATTTCAAGGGTTAATCCTTCACCTTGCTGGCTGCTTTTGGCCTGTTCATGCCAGCTGATGTCACTGCCGTGTCCTCCCTCTCTCTGTCCCCGTGTGTCTGAGCGCGGAATGAAATGCCGTCTTTAACTTTCTCGTAATATTTAATTCTCCCTGCTCTTTCGTTTAGTGTTATCATAAAGCATCTCCAGTGGGGGAAAAAAAAATAAATAAAATTGGCAAAGTGTAGAAAGCTCTTTGTTATTCTCAGTAAATATACAGCGTGTATGGTTGGTTTATAAAATAATTATGTCTCGGTACCTCCACCTGGTTTTGGAATATTTACACAGATAAATCTAATTTGATGTCTGTGATTTTAAAATACTTTGTTTGTAGGCATGTGTGACATATATGTTACTAATAAAAGTAATAGTTGATTTAATTTACCTGTTGTAATTGAAAATGCATGTAGCATATTGCATTTAAAATTAATTTTGATACTAATGAAAGGAGGGAAACAGGATTATTAGATATGTTCAAACGCATATTATTTTTTTGCTTGCAACATAATTATTAAATTGATTGCTCAGATAGGAACAAATTGTTGTTTAAAATCCTGATTCCGCAATGTTTCCTCTTCTAAAAAGATTGTCTTTTAATGCATTTCCAAGCTAATAAGCCTGATAAAATTCTGTACTTGCTCTTGAATTAGTTTTCACTGATGGCTACACCTTACAAAAGCTTGCTGTTAGCATAAAAATATCAATCACAAAATGAAGACCCCAAAACAGCCTTTTAAAGTAAATCACCGCAACAAAAAAGTTTTTCTTGTCAGCTCTGGCATTTGAAGGTGTGGAGAGGCTGAAAGTTCACGCAGAGTGTTGGTACAAAGCGGGACTCGAGCCTGTTGATAATTGCTCCTAAAGACAAACGTGAAGGCACCTGACACAGCTGGATCGAAGAGAGCTTTTGTTGGCTGTCTGTGCTAAGAGGAGAGACAACATAGAGTGCTCGCGGATGATTTAAGTAGGGTTGGCGTGATAAGGTTATCTCAAGCTGCAAGAGTTGATAGGGCAGTGAGAGACAACCCAGAGCAAAGCTGTGCAATCAATTAAAACTGTGTAATATATGCTGCATGAGGAAACCCCCCAGCCCTAAGTCTATCTTATAAAATAACATTATTTTTTTGGGGTGGGGGGGTTTCTAACACAGTAGGTTACAGTCGCAACACAAGCAGTGTTTCCCCGCGAGGATATGTTCCCAGCAGTACTCCTCAGCAGTCCAATTACAACACAGTCAGCAATAGCATGAATGGATATGGCAATGCCGGCATGCCCAATCTAGGTGTACCAGGTTCCCCTGGATTTCTTAATGGCTCCTCAGCTAACTCTCCTTATGGCAGTAAGTGTCTATTTTTGGTAACACATCATCATATAGATTCATATTTACTACAAAATCAACTCCTTGCATTGTTTTTGATTTCCTCTGTTGTCAGCTACTGGATAAAAGGAGGGGTGACTCTGGAGGCTGGACGTAAAAATGAAAATAATAAATTGATCTGTTTGTGCCAGAATACAATCTCAGATAGAGAAAAAAAAAATAATAAAAAAAAAAGAACAAACAAAACAAAACGAAACAAAAAAAAAACCAAAATAAGAATTGGACTGCGCAATTCGTAACAAAAGTCCAACACAAAAGAGTTTGCCTGTTATCCAGAGAGTGGCCAAGCCAAGGCATTTCATTTTTATTTTTTTATATATATTTTTTTTCTATATATATATATATCTCTATATATATTTTAAGAGGCAAGGCCCTATCACTCTCTTTTTCCGTGTTTGCCGTGAAAACCTCAATCTGAGTCCTGATTATTTTTGCTTTATTGCAGTAGTGCCGTCAAGCCCTACCATGGCAGCCTCTTCGGTCACCCTCCCTTCAAACTGTAGCAGTACACACGGCATTTTCTCATTCTCACCTGCCAATGTCATCTCTGCAGTGAAACAAAAGAGCGCCTTCGCTCCTGTTGTCAGGCCCCAAGCCTCTCCTCCACCATCTTGCACCAGTGCAAATGGAAATGGACTTCAAGGTGAGCCTGATCTCTCTCAATTTTCTCTCTGCTGCTTCTATTTTTTTTTTATTTATTTTTTTTTAGTGTTTTTTTTTTTTCTCGGGGAGAAAGGTACCTGGCTGGTTTTGTAAGTGCTCTCGTAGTGATGCAAAAGCAGGGGGAGAAGCAGGGTAGCGTGAATGGTCTTCTGAGATTTTCAGGTTTTTAGTTCATTTTTGATGCTTGCATTAGAGCAAACACCAGTTGTTTTTCTGGTATTTTCTCTTAGGAGTTTGTGCCTTAAATTTGGAGGAAGTACTGTATCCCTGAATGCCTCTTGGAGGGTTTGTGTAGTCCTGGTGTTTATATGTTTTCTGAACACATTTCTGTGGATGTTTGAGCCCAGCAGTGTTCTGGCAGGACACAGTGTTATTTCCTCACTTTATAGAGGGTGCAGTAGTGATTTTAAATATGTCAAGTTAATATAAATCAGGTTAAGCCCTTACTGAGTGGACTAAGCTTCCTTGGACTAGGTAGCCCTGTACGCAGTGGTTTGCATGCTCTGGTGGTCCCAGCCCTTACTGTGATGTTAGAGTGGTTACACACCTAAATGAATGAAATATTTTAATTAAGGCAGGTAATTCTTATTTATTTATTTTTAAAATCCATGTAATATCATGTGAGTAACACAAGGAGCAACTGTGATAAATCAGTGGCAGAATGTCCGTGGTCACCTGCAGGGTGTGGGGCAGGAGGAATTACGACACAGTGTGAGAACAAAAGCACAAACAAAGGGGGCACCCTACAAAGGAAGACTCATGGCCTGTTTTGCCACTTTTAGGGGGTATTTGGACATGCAGAAGGTGAGGCTGGAGGCGCACTAGAATCATTGGGAAGGTTTGTTTGCCTCTGGTGGAGTCTCGGTGCACAGTGCAGTAAATTGAGGCACTTCAGATCCCATTGAAACCAGGAAGGGTTGAGGGCAGTCTCATCCCAGAGGTCGTCACTCCTCTTGACTTCCTCAGTTAAGAAGCAGCAGCAGCAGCAGCAGCACAGGATTATTTATTCTTTGTATCACCATGACACCCATAATCCAACCAGCACTCACAGGCAAACAGATGAGGGGGATTTTAATTTGCTAAAGCAGTTCTGGACACCTGCATTCTGTGGGGTGCTGGAGGCACTTTGGAGAGATATCATCCCAACCCCACAGAGCTGCCTGTCCACCCCAAATCTACTCCAGGATCTCAAAATGAATTTTTCTGTAGCTTGCTCTTAGCTTCTTGGCCCCAAAAAAATCATCTGAGACCTTGTTATGCACTCAGGTCAACAAATCCAGATACACAAACTCATTGTAGCATGAATACTAAAGGAGAGGATAATTAAATTAAAGGGTTTTTTGTGTATTTCTTTAGTGAGAGCTTCAGTGTGCTACTACTGTAAGTAGAAAACTATATCCATATTCTTAGAAAAGATAATCCATTCATAAAAAAATCCAGTGTCCTACTTTCCTCTCTTTGTAAGAAGACACTGGTATGGAATGTAAATGCAGAAATAAAATAATGAATGAAAAGTAAAAATAAGAGAATAAAAATAAAATAAGTAAAAAATTAAACATAAAATAATAGACAAAAATAAAATAAAAAAATAATAATATAAATGTGGTAACATATGGCTTAGATGTGAGGCAGGAAGATCAACTAATTGATTTTGATTTACTCTGAAAAACACAATTATTTAAAGGTCTAAATTAAAATGATCCAAGTTTTTGCCAGTTCAGTACGTGAATAAGGAACTTCCTGTCATATACTCAAGGTTTTAGGTACTTACAATCTCTAAATTGCCTCAAAGTGGGGTTTTAAGGAGAACTGAATGCCTGCACTGGGAACCCAATGTCCCTTAGCACCTCCTCAAGCCCCCAGTAATTGCACATCTCCATCCTCAGGTACAAAAAATGCTTTTTGTATAGAGCTCAGAAGATGACTTGGAACCAGCCAATACTGACTTGTTAAATAGGTCACGAATTCAGCTCTGAAGCTGAGCCCAACCTCGCCTTGCACTAAGCATTTTTTATGCCCAGAGAGCCCAGTGAAGACCTAACGATGCCTTCTGCCCCTGATTTTTGGGTGCTGCAATCCCAGCAGCAGACTTGGTGTCATCCTTTTGGGTTTTGGGTCAGCAGCTGAACTGAAAATCAAGCGTTGAAAATAAATAGATCATATGTAGATAAATAAAAAATTAATCAAATAAAAACTGTTGATTTTTCTCTGTGATGCTCAGTGTTGTGGGAACTAGGGAACTGACGTGGAATCATAGAATCCTGGAATGGTTTGGGTTGGAAGGGACCTTGAAGACCCTCTAGTTCCAATTTTGGGCAGGGACACCTCCCACTATCCCAGGGTGCTCCAAGGGCAGCCCAGCCTGGCCTTGGACACCTCCAGGGATGGGGCAGTCCCTGTGCCACCTCCCTCACTCAGGAGTCCTCTGTGAGCTCCTTCACCATCCCAGCAGAGGCACCATCCCTTTTTCCACCCAAAGCTTTGAGTCAATTCACACTGGACTCACAAAAGCCCCCAGATTGACAACGCTTCTTTCAGCCATCCATCCTCACAGACCTCTGGCCTGGGCTGCAGCCAGGGCTGAGGGGCAGGACAGGGATGAGTTTGTCAGCTCCTTCCCTCATCAGACTTGTTTAAGAAAAGCCACCAACATTCCTGTGTTGGTACCTATTTACACTGCATTTGATACATAGAGTTCATTAGGGAGTTTCTGCTTCTTCCTTCCTATTTTCTTAGTCATTTGTTGACAGGGAACTCTTTTTAAAGTTTAATTAGTTGCTTTCTGGACTCTGTACAATCACCTCGGGAGTTTTCTGATCAGCACATTTTCTACATTAAGTTAAAATATGGAACTTGAGAGCTGCAGTCCAACTCAGCTGAAGTTTTTTTTGGTGATCTTCAAGTACAGAGTCTCATTTTAGGGCAGGATGTGATGGAGCTGAGTGACAGCTGAGGAGATGTCACTGTTAGGAATGGTCACATTCAGTCGAGCCAGGAGGACAGCAAGAGCTCAAGGTCACTGGTGCTGCATAAGAGGCAAATCCTGTGGGTTGTGGATAAGGAGGGACTTGGATAAGAATGGATAAGAATTGAGACAAGGGTGGTCCTTTTGCAGGGATTTGGGTGTTAATTGACCCCTCCCTGGTGGGTAAACCACTGTAGGGTATCTCTGTGTGGGAAAAATGCTTCTTGTGATACATCTAAGCCGGGGAGAACAGCAGAACTAAGCAGTTCCAGCTGGACCTCAGGGGGGTTGTTTTGTCTCCTAACAAAGAATTAAACAGAAGTTGAGCTGGTCTAACTTGTGGCTTGTGCTGATGCAGCCCTGAGCATCAGGACCACCCGAGCCCACCACACCAGAAGCAGGATCTTGCTGCCTGTAAGCACAACCCCAAAACTCGCTGTGTGCTGCAGGACCTACTGCCCAAGAGTGAACATGGAGATGTCTGTAGGTGACACTTTTTTTGGTAAAGAGATCCAGGACACCTTCTAGAGGAAGGAGTCCCTGCTCATGGCAGGGGGATGGAATGAGATGGTCCTTAAGACCCCTTCCAACCCCAACCATTCTGGGGTTCTGGGATCCAACGATGAAGACAGAGGTTAAGAGTAAAATGGACAACCTGGGGAGGTCTCGGAGAGGTCAGGCTGGGGGCAATGCCAGCCAGGGCTGGTGTTTACTCCTCCCCCTTGCTGCACCCATGCCACCTGCATGTCCATCGTCAGCCTGGGGAGGGCCAGCTCAGAGGCTGCAGCTCTTGGAGGAGACACCTCTCTCCCTCCTGTCCCCAGGGCCTGACTCACTCCTGTGAGCAAGCCTACAAAAAAGGGCTTTTGGGCCATGTCCAAAAAGCCACAATCTTGTTGACTCTGTGTGACCTCCACAGTCTATGAGCAGAAAGTCAAGTACTCACACGAATTTTTTAAGAGCAGGATCCTACCATGTGTGTTCCTTAGGGTAGAGAGTCTTTTCCTGTTTAAAACAATGAACATTAAAGGTAGAAGAGAAATTTTTAGTGAGAGACTACTGGCTCGCTGCAAAGTTGGAAGCACAATATCTGTTCAAAATTTGGTTTTCAATTGTAATTTACTTTCTATAGATTGTGAAAGATATTGCTCTCTGGTTATAGGACTATAATGCACAGCAAAAGGCTCTCTATATTCTTTTAAAATTGCATCCTGCTTAATTTTCTGGTCTTCCTCCAGATGAAAGTATTAAAATTATTATTAAAAAACTCACCAGCTCATTTTTCTTTAAGAAGGCGTTTGGTATCAATTTGCACAGCAGGAAGCTCAGTGAGGAAATTCACAATTGTCAAAGATTGCTACTAAAATAAATTGTGAAATACGTGTCTGGAGCACCAACCTTGCACCCTCCTCAGACTGTGCCACAGAGAGAGCTCAACAAAAACGGTTAAATTAAAGAACTGAGATATTTTTATTTTACCCCAGAAAAATACGGCAGCTGATAATTTAAATCTTCACACAGCAGAATCATAGGATGATTTGGGTTGGAAGGGACCTTAATGCCCACCCATCCCACCCCAGCCATGGCAGGGACACCTTCCCCTGTCCCAGCTGCTCCAGCCCCAATGTCCAGCCTGGCCTTGGGCACTGCCAGGGGTGGAGCAGCTGATGGTTGAATTGCAGCACGAGGCACTTGAGGACATGGTTTAGTGGTGAGCCACGAGTGTTTGTTGATGTTGGACTTGACCTTAAAGGTCTTTTCCAATCTTAATGATTCTGTGATTCCATCAGAACTGTTCCTTAAAAAGATCTCCTGCACCCCAGATAACCAGACTGGCATGGTGACAGATTTGCTGCTGGCTGAATCGCACAGGAGAGGCCAAACTGGGAGCAGGGGTTTGGTAGGTCCAAACACAGGGCGAGGTCATCTGCTGGCCTGGGCTCTGAAGGGTGGAACAGAGGAGATTTAGTCAGGAGTTCTTTTAAGGGTTTTTTGAAGGTGGTCAGGCCTTGGCAGGAGCTGCCCAGGGGAGTTTGCAGTGCCCATCCCTGGAGGTGTCCCAGGAACTGCTGGAGGTGGCACTCAGGGCTCTGGGCTGGGGACACGGTGGGGATGGGGCACAGCTGGGACTTGGTGATCTTGGACACTTTTCCCAACCTACATGATTTTGTGATTCTCTGAAAACGGTAAGGAATCATTTTCTCTGAAAATGATAAGGAAACGGAATATTTTAGGTAGAAAGGCTCTCTGCCAATATGCCAAAGAACCCACTGCCCTCCAGTTAAATTTTGTAACTTCAGTTGCTGGTTAGGTTTAAAACCTTAATTATTATGAATGTTGCAAAATTATAACTTCAGTTTCAATTTTGACATATTTGACACGTTTAATTGGGGAGAAAAATGGCAGAGTTGGAAGGCTTTATCCTGTTTGAAGAGCATCACCTGAGCTGTGTTTTAGAGAGTTTTAAATCCATGTGAATCCACAAAGGCTCTGGCAGGACCAGGGGCTGCTCTGGGCTCTGGGTGCAGCTGCTGGAGCCATGCTGGTCATGGTTGTGTTACCTGTGAAATGTGTACAGACCCAGCTCTTCCAAACCATAAAGCTGCAACAGCGAATCTGAAATAAATTAATATTGTTGAAATTAATGAACTGAGAAATTGAAGTTCACATCGCTACACGAACAAATTTATTAATATCTGTTGTACATAAATTAATGAGAAATATCATTATGGCAAAAATTAAACAACACTAAAATTAAAGACTGTCTAAATTATGCTTCTACCAAAGAACTGGTACCAATTCTAACTAACCAATTAACTACCAAAGAGTTAACTAGGAAAAAAAGCAGTGATTGTTGGCATCTCAGTCTTTATCTGTTAAAAAACCCCAGGATATGGCTGGTCAGGAGTATTAACATGATGAATTTTTATGGTGTTTGAGCTCTAGGGTTGGGACAGAGTTTAGAATTCTTGGTTTTGGTCTTGATCCTCGGTTTGCTCATCATGAAGCTTTCATCATGAATTAGAGTAGTGGGAAAAGAGAGGTTTCCTGGCCAGGGCATGAGGTGGTGTTTGGTGTTTGGGTCCCCAGGGAATGGAGGCACAGCCAGAGGAGGTGTCAGAGCCTGGAGAGGAGCTGAGCCCGGGGAGTTTGGGGTGCTCCTTCTCCAGGAGAGGCTGTTGGGGTGTGTTGTGCTGGGAGGAGAGGCCGTGGTCCTGCTCTGGGGATGCTCCCGCCCCGTCCCGCGGTGGCTCTGAGCCCAGAGTGCCAATAACAGCTCCTTTTCTTCTCTTTTTCCTTTTAGCCATGTCCGGGCTTGTAGTCCCGCCAATGTAAAGTCACTTTTGTTTACCTACCGTAGCACCAAGCTGCAGAGGATGGGCTTAGGGGACAAGTTTAGTATATTAAGACATGCTGATGGAAGCAGTATCTTCACACAGAATCAGCAACAAAATCGAAATGCTACAGGAAAAACAAAAAAACAAACCCACAAAAAACCCCCACAAAAAAAAAAAAAAGAAAAAAAAAAGACTTTGTTTAAAGATTTTATTTAAACTATTAAGAATCTACATGCAAACAACCTACTTCTTCATGAACAATTCCATTTTATTGACTGAATTTTTCTCATATTTTCACATTTCTCAGTCCTGGAGAATAAGGAAAAAGCGACGCCTATTTTGTATAAAGTTTCTGATTACGTCTTGGCTATGTCTAGTACTTGCTATGTGTTGGGAGAAACTTTGTGGATGCACCATTTTGATTATCATGAAACACTGATGAAAAATGCCTCCGAACATTTTTCTGTACTCATAACTAGATTCACAATGGTTGTGTATCTCTATAATGTGAAATATTTTTTTGTGGTGGAAAAAAAAAAAAAAAATAGGGGGCCAAGGAGGTTATGAGCCATCAAACTGGAAAAAAAAAAAAAAAAGAATGAAAAAAATAAAAAAAGGATGAATATATGATTAGAAAAAGAAAAAAAACCACACAAAAAACCGGGGAGCAGGGGGTGGGCCGGGGGGGGTTTATCGTTGCTTAACTTCATCTTAATGAAATGGAACTTTGTAACTTATTGTAGTTAGAAATTGTAACTTTGATATTGAATTCTCTTGCCTTCAACAAGCACACTGACAGAGAAAAAAAAAAAAAAGAAATTGCTACTGTCTGTTGGTTTAAAAAAAATGAAAAAAATATACTTCCACTGCTAGAGCTTCCTGTTAAGCAAGTGTGATCTGCAACATTTTTTCAACTTTTGCTAGCACTGTATACTATTGCATTTTAGGCTACTGTGAAGTCTATGTTTCTTGTACCAGAAAATTGTCCTTTTGACTTCTAGATCCTTCTTCCCTAATGTGTTTTGTATGTGGTTATAAAATTGTAGACTTTTGTGATTTTGCCAAAGTTGTAGCTAAATATTTATACACTTGTCTTGAATTTTTTTCAGATCCACTTAAATATTTAGACAAAAAAAAAAGCAGATTTTATTCCTTATGACAGCTATAAGGAATAAAATAGTCTTATCCATTGCAACACTTTCTTTCACATAAACACTTGCAGTCACTAAGGGAATTTATTTTGTAACATATCAACTATAAATATTGTATTTATCTTTGAAATTTTGTATATTGCTTTTCATCTTTTTATTTTTTTGTTTTTTCTTTTTTTTTTTCTTTTTTTTTTTTTCTTTTTTTTATGTTCTTGTATGTACTGGTTTTTGTCCTGGCCTGGTATCGTGATGCTGACAATAGCATTAAGCCAAGAACTGTTGCCTTCATGTTTTTCTTTTAAATAAATCAGTGTCTGTGCATTTCATGTGTACTTCATAAGGTTGCTATGGTTTAGCCTTTCCATACTTTAGGTTTTTTTTTTAATTTTTTTTTTTCAAAAATTCAAATTCATTGTTTATTTTTATATTGTTTTTAAGTTATCAGAACAAATAATTTTGAAAGAAAAAGTCGTTTGTTGTATAGTCAAATCAAAATTGTGCCACATGGCTGTAATGAATACTAGTAGAATATGTGCATGTGATACAGCCACAGAAAAGATGAATCTATTTTGTGGTTGCATTTTTTTATTTCCTTTTTTTTTTTATTTGTTTGTTTTCTTTATTTTTTAATTTTATTTTTATTTTTATTTTTTTTTTTTTAAAGATTGTAAAAAGTCATTTTTAGCTGCCACCCATAACTTTGCCACATAGCTGAACTGTGTTTACTGGAAAAATTCAGAGGCCTAAAGTTTAAAAATAAATTCACTTCTGATGTTTTAATTAAAATGTTTGCCACATGAACTTCTCTGATGCCTTAAAAGTGAACTTCTTTGAAGAACTTTTGTGCTGTTTTATCACAGGCTTACACCACAATTGTTAATCACGACTTCATTTGGACGATTTCTGGTGTAAAAAATAAGGGGGAAAAAAAAAAAGCACAATCCTGGTGTACAATTCTGCCACTCCTTTACCTGTCGATTTTCTGCTGCACTCTGCATTCTCCCAAACCTGCACTGCTCAAAACCAGGAAAGGTTTCACGGGAAATCGGGATCACACCGAATTTTTAATGTCTGGGAGTTGTTTATTTAGGTTTCTTGGGGGTTTTTTTTAGGGAACTTTTTGTAATCAACCCGTAGCCGACTGTACTTTTTAAACTGGAATGACCTCTGTCGTATTCCGTGGCTCTCAGTGCCAAATCCAGCCAGAGAAACGTGGAGTTGTTTTTATTTTTACTTTGCACTAAATCCTTTGCCAGCGCAGCACTGCAAAACACGTTGCAAACTGCAGCAGAATTCACCTTTTAACCAAAAAAAAAAGGCGGGATGATTTTTTTAATTATTATTTTCTTTTGAATTATTATTATTTTTGTAATTTTTTTTTTTTCTTTCTGGGCAAAAAAAAAATAAAATAAAAATGCACATTTTAGTCAAGCTTTTCTGAAAGGGTTTAGAAGAATGGTTCAGCGTAGCACAGCTCTGTGAGCACGGCCAAGGCTTGGCTAGGTGGGAAAGCCTGAGAAGTCACTTTGGAAACTGAATTGCCTCCGTTATATTTTGTCTAAGTAAGGTTTTGCTCTAAAAAAAAAAAAATAAAATAATAAAAGAGGTCACGTGTACATGTTAAGAAAGTCTGCAAGTTCCTTCATAAATGCAATCTGTTTGTGTTTTAGATTAATTAGTCAATGCACTCATCGCTTCATTGTCTCCAGACGGAAAGCTTCACTAAATGGTAGATTTTACTGTTAAAGACCCTACAATAAGATTGTTTTATCTGTACATTTTTTCATATATTTAACTGTATAAAAAAATGTTCATTTTACACAATATTTAATTAAAGTATTTCTTGTCTGTGAATTTCATTTTTAGTAATTTTATCTGGTTTGATTATTAAAAAAAGTGACTAAACACGAAATGAAAAAACGCAACACTGGGGGTTTCATTTCTAAATATCAGAATTTTTATTCCTTTGTTATGAAAATGCCCAAATCCTTGACGTGGTCTTTCCAGTTCCCTGGGAGGAGGATGAGGAAGGAGATCTCTGCTCTGCAGTGGCAATCACTTGTTGCTCAGCCTTGGGTGAAGTATTTATCCAGAACTGCTCACTTTTTGTGAAGATTACAGCACAATATCTCTTTCTCTTATTTAACCAAAACTGTGCACTGCAGACAGGCTTTTTGTAAAGCAAAGGTAACAATACTTTTTTTTTTTTTTTTTTTTTTTTTTTTTTTTTTTTTTTTTTACTATTTTAATATCATATTGTAAAAGTTTGTAAACAGGAAAAGTTATTTTAAGCAAAGCACAACCCAAATTTTCCATGTGGTGGTTTGACAGTGAAGGTCGACACGCTCGTCTCTTAACTGCTGAGAAGGAAGCAAATTCTTTTGCTAATTATAATACTGAGCACAAACATTTCATCCTCTGGGCCATAATATGTGCAGTGGACGTATAATGGGTACAAAAATATATTTATAACGAGGTGGGCACATGCAACCTCTGAGCTGCAAAGCTTTGCCTGATGTACGTGTCCGAGTTCCCCACCCCAGACACCAAATGTGCTCCTGTATCCTTGTGTGTGACCAGCAGCAGCAAAAAAAGGGCATTTCCACAGGAATATGGGTCTGGCAGAGGAATGTGAGTGCCCGTGGTGGTAAAGCAGGGAGTTTGTTATGGAGTTTGATCTGGTCATTAATCAGAGGGCTGCTGACAACTTTGAGAGGGCATTGAGAAACTCGGAGCTCCAGAGTAAATGGATGGAGTGGTGCACGTGGATCCAGAGCCAAAGGACACGCTGGGTGTCCCAGCTCCTCCTCAGCTGCCCCTGCTTAAGGGATGGAGTGGGGAGAAGGTAAAACTCACTGCAGTCACAACCTACAGGAAAACCGGGATTTTTAACCTTGCTTCCTTTCTTCTCCTGTGTTTCCATAGTTTTCATGCCAGATGAAAACAGATTTGATGAAAATAGGTGCTAAAGCTGATTATTATTATTATTATTATTATTATTATTATTATTATTATTATTATTTTATGCATTGCAAACTGTTCCACTCTGAGTGTGTGTCTGTGTATCATGTTTAAGCGGCGGCATAATCAGATGCATCCCACTAAAAAAAATAAGCTGGATTTTAGGGATGAAAGTCTGCCTGATGCCTACTGGCGCTTTTCCTTTTAGTTTTATTTCAAAGGTTTGAATAATGAGCATCTAAATGGTTCCTCTAACTTTCAACAGCAAGGAAAATACAAAAGGAGAAAACCCACATATGACAATTCCTAGAGCAATCCACCACCTACGACACATCTGGGTAAGAGCCCTGCTGAGGAAATATGTTGTGTCAGCCCACAGTGAGTTTAGACACAGGAAGATGATAAAAATTCCTTAATCAAAACGAAGGAATAAGAGTCTCTAAAAGTACATGCCAATTATTGCGGAGCAGCTTTTAAAAGTCTTTCAAGCTTTTAAAGATTATTCAAAGCACTTGAAATAGGCTTCAATCTAATGCCTCATTTCATTGCATTAAACAGCCTAGTTAATAAAGAATCAATATATTCAAAGGGCAAGGTTATCTTTTGTCTATAAGGGGTGGTGTCATTCTGAACCTTTTATAGTTCAAATGCTGAAAAAGACCTCATGAAATCCATACTCATCAAGTGGGTCAACTAGAGCAATAAAGAGGCCTCTGAAAGAATGGCTGCACTCCTTTAAAACAACTATAAGTCTTATCTCCCCGCATAGTCCTCGCCAGGCTCCGCCAGAAAATGTCAATTTCTCATCAAGACAAGAGCCCCGGCGATAATTTTTTTCCAGAGAATACACACAATTAGGAGAATGCAGAAAGGCCCCACCAGTGATTTGTAGCTTATTATGTCACCGGCGGGCCGCGATCCGCCGCTGAGCAGATAATAAGGGCTGTTGATAACCGAGGTGTCAATACAGCCCAGAGTGATTTTTGAATGCGAGCCCTTGTGCCGCGCCTCCCCTCTCGCGCAGATCGCGGGGCCGATAACCGCGCGCGCCCCGCGAT